TCCTCCTCCTCCTCCTCCTCCTCCTCACCTGAAGATTCCCATCAAACTCTGATCAGGGACTTTTGTTTTCCTCCCAGAGTGAAATTCCAGACGGCCCAACAGGCCATCTTTTTCTGGTTGGTGCAGAACTAAAGGAATTTAGTTTCTTCCTCATCCAATTGAACCAGCTTTTAAATAAACACGTGGACTTTCCCCCTTTAAATGTTTTTTTTTGTTTTGTTTCCTGTCTGTAGCACCTTCTTCCCCAAAGTTAATCTCAAACATGTTTCATATACTTGAGTCCTTTCATACTTGAGTCCTTTTGGTTCAGTAGCTCCAAACAGATGAGAATCTGTGGTTTAATGGTGCCACACTGCCCCCTGGTGGCTGTGATGTGTATTACATGAGCAAATCTGAGGCAGAAGCTGGAGATGACGTCTTGTTTTCTGTGGCCTGTCCAAACGCGAAGGGAAAAATAGCCTGGTTAAGAATTATTGTGGCCTGTTTAAGGAAGGCTTTGTATTAATCTTCCAATGGTGCTGTGTCTGTGTTCATAGATCTGCTTTGGGTGTCTGTGGATGCAGATTTCAACCCTCGTGTCGTCCTCTGGTCAAACAGCAGATTTATCCTTTCATATCAGCTCAGAGCTCAAAGATTCAGCTCTTTCTGTAGAAAAAAATCACTAAATGTGAAATTTTCCTCTTTTTTCTGCATCCTGACCAACACTCTGGTCTATGATCCCCCTTTTCCTGAAGCTGAAGTCAGTTTAATAAAAACAACACCTCAGTTCTGAGGTGTTCTGGAAACAGTCAGAAATCCTAAAAATGTGTTCAGTAGTTGCAGAGAAAATAAAAAAAAAGAGTTTCTGTATTCAGAAATTACAAACTCAGAGCGTTTTAACCCATGAGAGTCCATTTGGGTTCTGAAGACCAAAACAAACTAAATGAATCACAAAAAAACAGTAAATTTATGAGGAACGCTGACATTTATCTGATATTTCAGGGAAAATTGATCAGAGGAAAAAGGATTTGGGCTCATAAAGGAGCCACAGAGCACATGGGGGATAAATCTGGATGTTTGGGGCCTCAAAGTGTCCGTTTTAGGACTATGCTATGTTCTTATAGCAGAAAAATGCCATTTTAACTGCTTATAGGACTGTATCAGGGCGCTGAGCAGTGCCTTCCTCTCTTATTTAAATCCACAGATGTCCCCAAATCACAACACAAGGGTACTAATACCGAAGCAGCTTCTTGTGACATGACTATTTCACCAAGCTAAGTAAAAAGCTTTGAAATATTTCATGTACATTTGATCGTTATGGAGGGGCTTGTATGGTAAATAACCTTTTAAAAGAGCTATCTGATAGACTTACACAGTAGTGCCACTTTAATGTCACACAGTGGTTTAACGTCCAAATAGAATCAGCGGAAATCTCGCGATAACTCACCAAAAGACGAGTTTTAGATTTTCTCCAGTCAGATGTGGTCATTTCGTTTGTAAGATAATTATCACTACCATTATTATTGTATTTGGAGATGTAGTTACGAAGTATGTAAGTAAACTCATACGGCCACCAAAATGCTTCGTAAATATGCAGCATTTTAAAAAACAGTTGGCGTGAGGAAGTTTTAAATAAAGTTTTGTTTGAACCGGTCAGCTGTTTGGTTCGGGACCACAACAAACATGGCGGCAGGGGGCGGCTGACCGAGGGAGCCGCGAACACCCCGTGACGCCGTTTTAATGAAGAGATTTTCGGTTTGCAAGTGGTAGCATTCGTTCAACACGATCTCGACATGGAGTCAGAGGCCTTTCCAGAGGAGGTTTCGGAGAGGAAAGTGTCCGTAGTCGGGTCGGAGTTGGTGGAAAACTACACCGTAAGCAGCCTTTGGCTATATGCTAACTAGCTTGTCTCTTAGCTAGCTTGGCAACAGTGACAGCTATGTGACGTTTTGGGGAATATCTCCATCCGACAGTAGGGTTACAGCTACGTTAATTTAACGTTTTCAGCTTGTATCCAAACTCTTATTTTTCCTGGGACCGATAACAGAGCCGGGAGGAGGTCTGACAAGCTAACGGCTAACGGCTAACTTGCCGGTGTTGTGCCCAGAAGTGCACGAAAAAAGCATCCCCGTTTCAAATCAGACCACGAGATGGGCAGGGGAAGAAGATTTAAGGCAAATTCTCTAATTATTATAAATCCACAAATCGTCTATTGTTAATGTGGCCTTCATGGAGAAATGAGAGAAAACATGAACGAATGAAACACCACCGTTAACTTAATTAAGTTACTTACCGGTACTTATCGGCATAACAACGTCCAGTTTTACAGCCTGGGGAAATACTGAGTCCTTAGAGGAGGTTAAT